AAGTTTTGTATCGCACCTCCGTTTCGATTTTGGAAGTTAAATGGGTGATGCTAGGTTAATTCTGATTTTAGAGACATTTAACACATGAAACCATCCGGGGATAATCATCTTCAAAACAGAGCGGAGCAGGAAAACAGTGCATTCATTACGCCCTCATCAAATTTATTTCTCGGGAGGCTCAAGACACCGAGCGAGCGTTAGCGGCACTAGCGCCAACGGAAGAACTCGAAACTTTCATGGCCGGGGGGTCAGATCTCCAGCGCAGTTGACAAACTGTGCCCAGTGACAGGGCAGGGTCGAAATCCTCTCCAGTGCCCGAGAGCTGTCTCTACGAATGTAAGTGTCTGCAATTGCCAAAAGGACATTTAACACTTTCCGTCTAAACAAGCTTTAATGTTGCCCCTTCCCCTCTCTTCTTAAGTGTACATGTCCACTGCGATTTTGTGTTTGTTGGAATAATTGTGCTTCAAAAAAATTCTCAACAAATTTTCCCAAGACGTAGCACAACATTGACATTCCAGAAACCTTTGAGTACCATGAAGTACACTGAAAAACCTCGTGGGGCCCTAAGGCCAACAACACACATTATTACAGCGCCCAAACTTTAGACGAAAAAGACTGATATTTTACGGATAAGAAAAAAATACCAGAACGTTTTGCACATTTAGCTGCAAAAACAACCTGTTTTTAGGCCCAAGCATTCGCGTATGGTTTGCTCTTTCCCAAAAACGGGAGCAGTAAATGGGTTTTGGGTTGGGTGGAGGAGCCACGAAGTGATTTCTAACGCCATCAATGATGCGCAGGAAAGCGAGGGGTCTTGCGTTGGTCTGACGCCGCTCGTTTACCGATGTTCCATTCTGCGTCGTCCTGCTGACGAACGCAAGCAACAGCAATACGTTTTCAATAAAGCTTATTGTTTAAAACCATTGACAACCTGCTGAAAACCGTCAAACGCCAAAAACTTCGCAAAAAGCAGGTGTACGTTACTCGGACGCGTGTTTTTGCCATACAAACAACCTGAAGGACTTACTTAACTTAAGTTACTTCTGCCGAACTTACTGCCTTCTGCCGACTTACGGATGGACGGATGCCGACTTAAGTTAAGTCTGCCGAAAAACCATCCTTGGGTTCAAGATGAGAGAAGTAATGCGATGCCCCCCTATTCAATCAGCATCCTTTATCCCGCCGCAAATTTCCTTCACGCGGTCCGAATCTTGCTTAGTTTTAGCCTTAGCACGGGCACTGTGGCGGGCGAGTGCGCGGTAGCCATACTTTCATTACGTAAGAGGAAGGGCGAATCAATGGGCCGGCGCTCGCTGGAAGCGCGAGTCACCGGGAGATGACATGTGGGGAGAGGAACGCCCGCTGCCCGTACTCCCAGCGTGAAACTCGAGCGGGCGCACACGAGCGACCAGGTGGAAGGGCAATAGCGGAGACCAACGCATGCCTGGGTGTTTGGGTTCGTTTTCCATCAATATCGCTCAGGCGGGGCGGACCGCGGCGTGTCGTTCTCGTCGGCGAGGGGACCACAGCCGGTGTCAGCGCCAGTCTGCTGGCGCGCCGCGAGAGACTGCCCGACACCTGTCCGCGAACTGTGACCAGTATCGGAGCACTCGACTTCCGCGTCGGGGGATGCGCGCTGACGGCATCTCGTCCGCCCGGTGGGGACCACCCCACACGGCGTCGCAGGAGGTCGGGAGAGGCGCGACTTCCATGGGAGTGCCGGCCTGGTCGGCTCACCACGGGCTCTGTCCTCGGCATCCAGCATCACGGTCGCCCGGGCCCAGGAAGCCCACCACCGCGTCAGGCTTCTTGGGCTGCAGCCGTTTTGCTTGGGTAGAGCGAGCGGTGGCGGCGACCTTAAGGTTGCAACGTGATGTTGTGGCCGTCCGCGATCCGAGGCGGGCGGAGCCGGTGAGATAGACCGACAGGCATACAGGCGGGCATAATGAAGGCACCTCCCAGAGGCTGCCCGTGGGACCGTGCCAAACGCACCGCCATCCGTCTCGTCGGCGAGCGGACGGCGGACCTCGTGGCGCCCCAGGCGAGGACGGTGGGGAATGTCGCGCGATACTGACCCCGCACTACACCGCGAGAGGGAGGGCGATGAAAACAGGTAACGCGTAAACAGATAGGCAGGCAGATAGACAGACAGAAACAGACAGGCAGACAGACAGACAGACGGACAGACAGACAGACAGACAGACGGATATACTGATATGGACAGACGGGTTCGCAGTGGCCGACTCGCTGTCCTCGTCGCGGGCCGAGGTGTCCGTAGGGCAGGCGTGCCATACGAGCCGCCGCTCGACTCGCTCCACGGGATGCGGGAAATTGGCTCAGGGAAGGGGATCGGGTTCCCGGTGTTATCGGGGAGGTTTTTGCGCGAACATAAAGGGCTGTCGCTGCCAGTCAGGGCTCGCAGCAGACATCACGCAGATGACTGCAGGAGAACGACGGAGAGAGAGAGAGAGAGAGAGAGAGAGAGAGAGAGAGAGAGAGACGAGGAGAGAGAGAGAGGAGAGAGAGAGGAGAGAGAGAGAGAGGAGAGAGAGAGAGAGAGAGAGAGAGAGAGAGAGAGAGAGAGAGAGAGAGAGAGAGAGAGAGAGAGAGAGCGCCGGCGCCGGAAGGAGCCTTGGCCTCCACCACCTGATCGTGAAATTCTAGGTCAACGGCAGAGTTAAGCAGCGAGAGTTCAACGTGCCGCGGCGCAAGAAGCCACTCCATCCAAGAGCAAATAGCGAGCGTCTAAGGCGATTCGAACCCACACCGCCACCGGGGGCGGGGGGTGGATTGGAAGGCTCTAACCAACTGTACTATCGTCACGGACAACGGACGGTGGTGGACGAACCTCTGTGCGGTATGCCGCCATTGGGTCTGCGCGACACACTCCCCCAGAGATGCCATAGCACGGCAGTGTGTGTGTGTCATTGGGGCTTTACGACGCACTCAGCTGCTGAGGCTATATGGCGTCGCCTGCCTCTCGCCCTGGCAGGAAGGGCGGGCACCGCGGGGAATCGAACCCCGTACCTCTGGTTTCCAGACGCGCAGTGGTTAACTCAGACGCGTTATGTGTGTGATTGGGGCTTTACGACGCACTCAGCTGCTGGGGCTATATGGCGTCACCTGCCTCTCACTCTGGCAGGAAGGGCGGGCACCGCGGGGAATCGAACCCCGTGCCTCTGGTTTCCAGACGCGCAGTGGTTAACTCAGACGCGTTAACGACTACACTACCGGCACCCCATAGCACGCAGTTAAGAGCTATTCGAGTCACATTTAGCCTATGGTAACACCGGTAAACTCTTCCTGGTATTAACGCCAACTACACCTGACGGATGTAAGGCCACAAATGTGCTGTTTTGTGTCTAATTGATTACGAAGACATGAATAAAACGTCGTCCCAGCAGATGAACTGTAACACGCGAAGAATGCAATGAGAGCGTCCGCCTATCACTTCCATTTTTCTACTGAGGAATGCTATTTTTCTCGAAGACTGTTTGGAATTTATAGCCAGAGGGCGTGGTCACAAGGGACAACCAAGCAAAATGACCAAAGCAGTCGAAGCGCCCCTTAATAAAAAAAAAACATCAGGAAGCGCCGAGTCGGATGGCACTAATGCTCGTGTGATGGCGTCCTCTGTCTTGATACGCCGGTGGAATGTAAAGGACGCTGCAAACGTGATCCCAACGCCTTGAACGCAAACCTTAGACCGATATCACAGCGCCTCCTGTCCACCTCCCTTCCTAGCGAAAGCCAGGAGGCGAACCGCGATGGGGACTGTGTTCGAAAGGCACCGACTCTGCACCGTCGGGAGGCTGGCGCGCCGACGCACGGTAGCCACGGCGCACCGGCGCACGGCTGCCACGGCGCGCCGGCGCACAGCAGCCACGACAGCGTCCTACTCCACCGCCTGACGGCCCACTCATCGGAAGGACGGGGGAGG